CACACACATACACACACACCACTTTCACCCCGTTCTACTCACACACGACCGCACCACTGGGTTTGGAATTGGACCGGAACTTAAAAATGGAGCTGTTTTTCCTTTCCTTTCCTTCTTTCCTGGGCTTTTCTAACCTAATCTTGCATCAAAGCAGGGTGGTTGCAGTTTGCACATCACTGCTCTGGGTCCTCATGACGACGTTGGTGCTCTTCGACGGGAATTTATTTTGCAACCATTGGCTACCCAGGCAAATGAGCGCATTCCGAGAGTGCTCATTATTCACCGTCCTAAATTGACTCATCATGATTCATTTTCCCCTGGCTAATCTGCATGCATCACCATAAATTATTAATAAATTCTTCATCATCATTACCCACATCGTAAATTATTTACTTTACCTTTCTTCGGTTCAGCACTTCCCTCCCCGATATTACCGGCACTCCCTTCCAAAATAAAATATTCCTTTTTGCAACAAAAAGGCAAGAAGATATGAGGGGTGAAGAGAGAGAGAGACAGAGATGTTTCCACTATATTTCTTCTCAGTGCTATTTTTCTAGAAAAAGAGGTGCTGAAACTCACCATGAGCACCTCCCTTGTTCTCTTATAATGGCAATGGTGCCCACTGAGTTCCGGCTGAAAAAAAGCTGTTTCTAGTTACTCAGGTAATACTGTACAGTGGAACCTCAATTTCTGAGCATCTTGGAAACCGAACGTTTCGATTTTCGAACACTGAAAACCTGGAAGTAATTGCTTCCGTTTTCAAACGTGCCTCGGCTTCCAAGGTGCATTTCTCAGTTTTCTCAATGGGATTTGCCAACTGCCCACTGAGCCTTGGTTGTCAAACGTTTTGGAAGTCGAACGGTCTTCCGGAACGGATTACGTTTGACAACCAAGGCCCACTGTATTTGAAGAAACAAAGGGCCTTAGGAATGGCTTTGCTCAAGGCCGACACAGCATGTTTTGCTGTCTGAGGAGAATGTGGTGCAACCAATGCCAGCCAAGTTATACCGGTGACTGCCAGAGCTGCCACAAGCACCTCTTCCTCTGCCGGGCAACAAAAGTTCTATAATCATCGTGGCATTCATACGGAGCCCCCAGTCCTCTCACGGACTATTGACCCGTACACCACCAATCCACTGCCACCAACCAGGTCCTCCCCGGTAAAATCATTTCAGTCTCACTCACGTTCTCAAGGTAATAAAGAAGAATGTATTTTATTTCAGACACAAACAAACTTTTATGGCATTCCAAACGTTGTTACTCTTTACTTTCTTAGTCTTATTTTCCTCTCTCTATCTCTTCTACCTCCCCTCACTCAAGAACCCACTGCCCTAACTGTCTCTCTAGATCCAACTGCTTCTCCAACTGCCTTTCCCAACCAGCCAACCCATTAAAACCAACCAACTACCCACCAACAACTCAAACAAACCTCGGGCTAAGCCCTTTTATAGACATGTAGGCTCCGCCTCCAGCTTTCCTATTGGTCTACATTTTTAACCCTTTCTTTCCCCCTGTTCAAACATTTTCAAAAGAACAAGCAAATGCTACATCCATAAATTAAATAGCTAACCATTTCCTGCCCTTTCACGGTGACATAAAGCAGTCGCTTAATGGTTAAGAAAATAAAGACAAGCCTACTGGATCAGGCCAGCATCCTGCATCCTGTTCTCTCAGTTGCCTGTGGGAAACCTGCAAGAAAGACCCAAGCACAAGAGCAACTCGCCCCTCCTGTGGTTTCCAGAAACCAGCATTCAGAAGCGTTACTGCCTCCAGCCACGGAGCTAAAGGGATCAATTTGCTCACCTGACGTAAAGCAGTTGCCTGTGACCAGCACATTTTTATTTTTATTTTAGCAACCCCTTTGCTTCGTAAGCACCATGGGGCAAACAGTGAAAGAATGGCAATGCCAGACACCTGTGAGTACAGTAGGTTTGTCCTTTTCCTGCCTGGCCTCAGCTATGATTTCTGTGAGTTTGGTGGGCTTCGTTCTCCTTCACTTTGAGATCCCAGCCAATGCTAGTCAATGCTCTCACTTCGACTTGATAAGAAGAAGAGTTTGGATTTGATATCCCGCTTTATCACTACCCTAAGGAGTCTCAAAGCAGCTAACATTCTCTTTTCCCTTCCTCCCCCACAACAAACACTCTGTGAGGTGAGTGAGGCTGAGAGACTTCAGAGAAGTGTGACTGGCACAAGGTCACCCAACAGCTGCATGTGGAGGAGCAGGGAAGCGAACCCGGTTCCCCAGATTACGAGTCCACCGCTCTTAACCACTATACCACAGTTTGGGCTCCATTTCAGTCACCAACCTCTCCATGTATGTATGTGTTTACATGCATGTATGTACTTTATGCTCCTGCTAAAGGTTTTGGCATAAGCTTTGTGGTTGGCCCTGATGATGGTCTTTAAAAAACAACAAGTGTTTTGACTTGCAAGATTAGGAATCCTTCTTGTAAACTTTTTCAGTCTTCCGCATGTGGGCTGCAGAAGGGACGCACCAGATGCAGAATACAAATATAGCATTTGTGACCATATTGTGAGCATCTTGGTTCTGTTTCCTGTTTGTCACACTGTATCTATCACAGGTTATTTTTAAAGCTCTTGTTCTCTCCTTTTGAAAATCTGGTTTATAAAGCTCCTGTGACTGGGATAGGTTTGGTTTTGTTCGTTTGGAAAAGCACACACCACCCGGGCATGGCTTCCTGCTCCTATCTCCGTGTTGCCTGAAATTGCAGCATATCTAGAGGAAGGGTGGCAGCTGGGTGGCTGAACACCTGTTTTGCATGTAAAAGGCCCTGGGTTCGAATGCTGGCACCTCCAAGTCGAGCTGTCAATGACCCCTGTCTGAAATTCTAGAGAACCACTGCTGGTAATTGTAGACTTGGGATGGGAAATCTGTGCCCCTCCAGATGTTGCTGGACTTAGAAATGGAAAAATCTAGCAACTTTGGTTCTCCCAGGAATGGAGATATATTTGTGCTGGGTACAATCAACCTCACATCCCTCCGGTCAGCAGAGGGCAGGGTTGAGACTAACAGATAGGGGGAAATACACTTTGTGGTTGCCTATTGAATTCCCAAGCTCCACCTTTCTGTCTCTTGTCCTGCATGAAGCAGTCATGAGAAACTATTATTATTATTATTATTATTATCACCTGCAATTTTCCCTGACAGGACCCAAGGAGGGTTTTTTTAAAAAAACAATTCAATATTAATAGAAAATTTTGTGTGTGTGTGATTTATTAAAAACATACAATCGCAAAGAAAACTGCATGGCAATCGGTCCCCAAGAGCCTGTTGGAACAAGAAAGTCTTTGCCTGCCATCTGAATGACAGCAAGGAGGCAATAGTAGAAAAATTTAGGAAAATAAGACAATTGTGATTTGTTCTGATTGATGAAGAATAGTGTGCTATATTGAATATAATTTGGACCCACGATGGGGTAACTGGAAGTCATTATAGAAGTTATGTATGAAGAAAGTAATTTATCTTCTTGGCAAAGTGTATTATTTTTTTGTTGTTGACTGTTTGCTTTTTAAACTCAATAAATCATTTAAAAAGGGGTGGGGGAATGATAGCAGGGAGGCAGCCAGTCTAGCTTCTCTAGGGAGAGAGTTTCAAAGTCTTGGAGAACCCACCAAGAAGGCCCTCTCCCCAGTGGCGTAGCTAGCCCCTCGGGTGCCAGGGTGGAGCGTGCCACCCGTGGGGGCGGGGTGAGCCAAGGCAGGGCACACTGCGTGGAGCTTCTCTGCAGCCTCCCCCTCAGCTGTAGTGCGGCTGAGGTGGTGGGCAGACGCAAGCCCCGTGCTGCTTGGAAAAGCCATTGCTCTGTCCCAGCTCCTGCCAGCCTAGCAGTTCGAAAGCACACCAGTGCAAGTAGATAAATAGGTATTCCTATAGCAGGAAAGTAAACGGTGACTCTGTGCACTCTGTTTTCTGTCACGGTGTTCTGTTGCGCCAGAAGCAGTTTAGTCCTGCTGGCCACGTGACCCAGAAAGCTGTCTGTGGACAAACACCAGCTCCCTTGGCCTGAAAGCGAGATGAGCGCTGCAACCCCATAGTCGCCTTTGACTGGGCTTAACCGTCCAGGGGTCCTTTACCTTTTACCATACAAACTATTAACTAACCCAATTTTGTTTTATTGAGTTTGTTGACCAAGCTCAGGAATGCTTCAGGTCACAAATGCACAAGCAGGTAGTCACCCCCTGCCTTTATGTCCACTGTATAGTTATTATTATTATTATTATTATTATTATTATTATTATTATTATTCCATCCTCTCCCAACACATGTGCAGCTGTGGCTATGGGTGGAACTATTACAGCTACTACAGCTGCAGATAGCATCTCATGAAAATTCTAACCACCCTTAGAGTCAGACATATTTGGGAACAGGAAAATAATGTTTTGCTGTGAATTGCCCATTGTGGTCGTCTGTGTTCTGTAAGCTTTCTTTCTTTCTCATCATTATTGAGATGTATCCTTCCTCTCATTTTAGCCAAGATCTTAGCTATGAATAATTCATTGTTATCAATTTGGACACTTACTTTTTAAAAATGGAAAGCCTGCATATAGCCTCCAGATTAAATCGCATTAAGAATAGTCGGGTGAATATCTTATTTAACAAATTAGCCTCTTCTCCCACCATAAGATGTACTTTCTGAGTTAATGACTGGGCATTTTAATAAGAATGGATGTAATTATTTTACAGTCTCTGCTCTTTAGAGACCAGCATCCTTCATTTTCATGTACAAAATCCTCTGGTGTGGGAGCATTATTGGAACAGAGGGTTTTTTTAAAAGTCACAATGCATGCCTATAACTTAGGGGGAATGGCCTTTCTTGGAGAATAAATAACACATGGGGGGAAAGGGTGGTATTAGAAAAAGCACTGAGCCTTAAAGAAATGATAAGAGTCATTAAGTGTTATTTTCCCCCTTAAACTCCTTTGCTGCTACTGTCTCTGATTTTTTCAAGAAGAAAAATGGGAGGGAAAACAGGCAAATGAAGGCAAGAAATAGAAACACAGGAAGTTGGGTGAAGGTCAGAACTGGAACCACAGGAAGTTGGGTGAAGGTCGGAAATGGAACCACAGGAAGTTGGGTGAAGGTCAGAACTGGAACCACAGGAAGTCGGGTGAAGGTCGGAAATGGAACCACAGGAAGTCGGGTGAAGGTCGGAAATGGAACCACAGGAAGTCGGGTGAAGGTCGGAAATGGAAACACAGGAAGTTGGGTGAAGGTCGGAACTGGAAACACAGGAAGTTGGGTGAAGGTTGGAACTGGAACCACAGGAAGTTGGGTGAAGGTCGGAACTGGAAACACAGGAAGTCGGGTGAAGGTCAGAAATGGAACCACAGGAAGTTGGGTGAAGGTTGGAACTGGAAACACAGGAAGTCGGGTGAAGGTCGGAAATGCAACCACAGGAAGTTTAGCACTGGAAGCACTCAAACTCACCTCCTCGGTCAATTGTCACTGTTACAGAAGAGAGGCAACAAATAGCTGTCATTATCTGGTTCTCAATCCACTTGCAATCTTGAACACAAAGAAGCTCATCCCACAAGGAGAGCAGGCCCAAGACATTGTAAGATTTTGAATGATAAATTTTTTTTTTTTTGAATGCCACAAAGATTAGTTCTCATACCAGGGCTAGTGTCGATAGATGGCATGGTTGGGCACCTGACAAGAGTCCCTCTGGACTCTTCACCATTGCAACCTGCTTGTTCAGCTACCTCCCATTCTGGATCAGAGGAGATGAGCAAGCAAAGAATTGGGCATGGGGGCAATGTGGGGAAGTAGCTGCTACTGCCTGCTTAAGCATTGGGTCTGCCTGGCAAGTAAGCTGGTGGTAGAAATGATGGAGGCACCGATGACAATGAAAAGCTCACTCAGACGGGTGTGGGGGGTGTGTGCTTATTGGTGATGTCTTGCTCAAGGGCACTGCCAAGATCTGGAGCCAGCGCTGGCTTATGCCCAAAATGCCTGTGACTTTTCCATAACAATAATGGGAAGATTTTATTCCTTCTTATTAAACTTCTAAATGGGCCAGAGGGAGGAGTAGGGGTGAGAGGCAATACAATTTAATCCCTTCTCTCTTTTTTGCCAGTCTGTTAAAGGTGTGTGTGTACTTTAACAGCCCTTTATCAGTGATTTCTTTTCATACTTTACCCCTTAGCATCCAATAAAATCTTGAAGCAAAATAACACAAAAAGAGCGGAAACATGCAGGCAAGAGATATAAAAACCGTGGCGGAAACTAGCCTCCAAGACACAAGATTATTTAGTTTACAGTATCATAAAATATTTCTCGTGGGCATGGAGAGGTGGAACAGCTCTATAATACTGAAGAGGAGAGAAGAAACAGAAAGAAGTAAGTATTCCTAACACAGCTGCAAAACTATGATGGGTCCAAATTTGTATTTAGGGACCAGCTTTCTTTTGATCATCATTATTTACCATATATTTTGGAAAGCTGTTCATTTGCTATATGTTTGGGCACATCTTATGATCCTGTAACTAAATTTTGCATGATTGGTCCACATTCCGGTACAATTTGATGCCATTTTGAATCATGATGGCAAACTCAACTTTTCAAAACTGCACAGATTTCAACCACTGATTTCAAAACACTGTGTTGTTGTTGTTGTTGTTGTTGTTGTTGTTGTTGTTTTCTTGGAATTCCCAAGCAATGGTTGGTACAAGGCTTCTGGTGATAAATATAGTTCCAATAATATAAATGATGCTTTGAAGAGTGATATAAAGAAAACCACTCCAGAATCACTATGCAAATTTTAACAGAGACAAGAGAAGCGGGGGAAGTCATGGGAAATAGTAGGCAGCTGTATTGGATTTGCACAGGCCGAATAAGAAGTGGGAACAGAAAATAGAAGGAGCGGTTGCCTCCATGTGCCTTGTGTTCTCTCTCTCTCTTTCTCTCCCTCCCTCCCTCCCTCCCTCCCTCCCTCCCTCTCTCTCTCTGGGAGGTAGTCTGGATTGACTTACTCGGTCATGAAGCTCACTGGGTGACCCTGGGTTAGTCAGTGGTTCTTAGCCTAACCTACCTCACAGGGTTTTTGTGGAGATTAAATGAGCTCATGGGGGGGGGGCAAAGGAGGCACATGTGATAAATAAATACTTTGGGGGTGGTTTGACTGTTTTGTTCTCTATGCGTTCAGACCCCATTTCAGATATCATCACCAAACTCAGCACAAGCTTTCCCAAGGTGGAGATGGCAGTTTTTCTTGATGTTGGGATGCCGGATGCCATTTTGAAACAAGATGGCGGTCTGAAAATAGCTCCAAAACTCACAAATCATGTTATCCATTTTTAATAATAATGATGATGATGATGATGATGATATAATATTCTTCTTGGTTTCTTCTAATTCCAGGGAAGTGCTAGGTTCACCCTGCTGATAAACAAAAAAACTAGCACTGCCCATAAGAGGGTTAAATCAGAAATGCCAGGAGTTCTTCTGTGAAGCTGGCGAGCCCACAACTTGTCTTCCAATAACTTGTTTCTGGCTATTGTGTTAAGAAGGACCTTTGATTCCTTGTTCACTCCTGAGCAACTTTAATGAAGGTTCTGATGTTAACTCTCTTGGATCCAAGTGTGATGTCATCTCACTTAGCAACACCAAGTCAGACCCCAAAGCCAAGATCTGAGCGTTCCCTGATTCTTACCCTATAAAGGTTCTCCAGTGTGCTCTTCACCCCTAAGAAAGAAGACCCAATCAATCCAAAACTCATTTATTTCACAGCAAGTCACCCAGCTCCTGCTGAGTTTTAGGAATGGAAAAGAATTTTAATTATAAAGAAGAAATGCTTGCGGAACTTTGAAAATTAAACTTGGAGGTGCTTCCCTCCCTCTTTCTCCCTCAGCTTTCTTTTTCTTTTTAAAGAGGTAATTATAACAAGTTGAAATTTCGTTAGATTTATTGGAATGGTCCAGTTATATGCCTTTGCAGGAAATAAGGAGATCAAATTCAATATAGTCACGATAAGTTGTAACCAGAAACCAGATCTGACAAAATGCTAATATTTTAAACAAACAAACAAGCAAATAAAGCGCCACACTTTCAGAGCAGGTGACAATGAATGTAAAAACAATACAGTTAGCCATAAAATCAATAAAACAGCAGAGCAGGCAGCATATAACACATGATCGATCGATCCATATGAAAGAGCAGACAAAATGTATCCCATGTCTTAAAGGGGCTAGATAGATCCACTTTAAAATTCTTTGGTAAGGAAGGATTTTGATTTTGAAAATGAATCAGCTAGAACCCTGTTCTTGTTCTTGGGTATTTCAGTGCAATCTACAGGTCAATTATTAGCAAAATAGATTTTATTTTAAAAATAATAATCATACCCTGCCCTTGCCCAGAATAAAATTTAAGATATTAACTGATGCAAAGGAAAGAGGTGGATTTGCCCTGCCAGACTTTAAACTTTATTATGAATCAGCAGCTTTTTGCTGGCTGAAAGAATGGCTACTTCTTGAAAATACAGACATTTTGGACTTAGAAGGTTTTAACAATGTATTCGGATGGCATGCATATTTATGGTATGATAAGGTCAAAGCACATAAAGCATTTAAAAATCATATTGTCAGGAAAGCACTGTTTAATGTTTGGACAAGATACAAGGATTTATTGGAAAATAAAACTCCAAGGTGGTTGTCACCAATGGAAGCGAAAGCTCTGAAAAGGCTCAATATGGAGGCCAAATGGCTGAAATATTGGGAAATTTTGGAACAAGAAGGAGAACAATTGAAATTGCAGAGTTTCGAGAAATTAAAAAATAAAGTGAGAGATTGGCTTCATTATTACCAGATAATGGAGGCATATAATCTGGATAAGAAAATTGGCTTCCAGGTGGAAAAATCAAGATTAGAAACAGAACTGTTAGAACCCAAAACTAAAAATTTGTATAACTTGCTGTTGAAATGGAATACTCAGGATGAAATGGTGAAATCTGCTATGATTAAATGGGCACAAGATGTTGGACACAATATTATGTTTGCTGACTGGGAACGGTTATGGACCACAGGTATGAAGTTTACGGCATGTAATGCCTTAAGAGAGAATATTATGAAAATGATATACAGGTGGTACATGACCCCAGTCAAGCTTGCAAAAATCTATCATTTGCCCGATAATAAATGTTGGAAATGTAAAGAAACTGAAGGCACATTCTTTCACCTTTGGTGGACGTGCCCAAGGATTAAGGCTTTCTGGGAGATGATCTATAATGAACTGAAAAGGTATTTAAATATACCTTCCTGAAGAAACCAGAGGCTTTTCTTCTGGGCATCGTCGGCCAATTGGTGCCAAAGAAGGATAGAACTTTTTTTATGTATGCCACAACAGCAGCAAAAATACTCATTGCAAAGTATTGGAAGACACAAGATCTACCCACTCTGGAAGAATGGCAGATGAAGGTGATTGACTACATGGAATTGGCGGAAATGACTGGCAGAATCCGAGACCAGGGAGAAGAGTCAGTGAAAGAAGACTGGAAGAAATTTAAAGATTATTTACAGAAATACAGTGGTACCCCGCAAGACGAACGCCTCGCAAGACGGAAAACCCGCTAGACGAAAGGGTTTTCCGTTTTGGAGGCGCTTCGCAAAACGAATTTCCTATGGGCTTGCTTCGCAAGACGACAGCCCATAGGGAAATCTCAGGGACAGCGGGAAGCGCAGCGCGCCTTCCCCACTGTCCTCGGACCTCCTCCGAAGCCTGGCGGCGGGGCGGGGACACCTCCTCCCGCCGCCGGGCTCGGAAGGCTCCTCCGAAGCCGGGCGGGGGAGGGAACACCTGCCGCCGCCGCCCGGCTCGGAACGGTGCTCCGAGCCGGGCGGGGGAGGGAACACCTGCCGCCCGGCTCGGGAACGGTGCCCGGGCCGGGCGGGGAGGGAAGACCTCCCGCCTCTGCCCGGCTTCGGAACGGTGCTCCGGCCGGGCGGTGGGGAGGAAGACCTCCCCGCCGCCCGGCTTCGGAACGGTGCTCCGGCCGGGCGGGGAGGGAACACCTCCGCCGCCGCCCGGCCTCGGAACGGTGCTCCGGCCGGGCGGGGGGAGGGAACACCTGCCGCCGCCGCCCGGCTTCGGAACGGTGCTCCGGGCCGGGCGGGGGAGGGAACACCTGCCGCCGCCGCCCGGCTTCGGAACGGTGCCCGGGCCGGGCGGGGGGAGGAAGACCTCCGCCGCCGCCCGGCTCGGAACGGTGCTCCGGCCGGGCGGGGGGAGGGAACACCTGCCGCCGCCGCCCGGCTCGGAACGGTGCCCGGCCGGGCGGGGGAGGGAAGACCTCCGCCGCCGCCCGGCTTCGGAACGGTGCTCCGGCCGGGCGGGGGAGGGAAGACCTTCTGAAGGCGGGCGGGGGCGAAAGTCTTTGCTCCCCTGCCTGCCTGTCCCGGAGGGCTTTTGAAGGCGGGGAGCAAAGACTTTCGCCCCGCCCGCCTTCAGAAGAGGTCCAGGACCTCTTCTGAAGGCTGGCGGGGGCAAAAGTCTTTGTCCCCCCTGCCTGCCTTCCCAGGGGCTTTTAAATTGCCCCGGACAGCGGAGAAGTCCTCCGCTGTCCCGGGGTGATTTTAAAATGCCGCCCGCCAGCATTTTAAGATCGCCCGGACAGCGGAGAAGTCCTCCGCGGTCCCGGGGTTTTTTTAAAATGCTGGGGGGTGGGAAGAAAAGCCCTTGCTCCCCCAGCCTTCAGAAGAGGTCCGGGGACAGACTGTCCCCGGACCTGGTCTGAAGGCGGTTTCCCTAGGAACGCATTAATTGATTTTCAATGCATTCCTATGGGAAACCGTGCATCGCAAGACGAAAAACTCGCAAGACGAAGAGACTTGCGGAACGAATTAATTTCGTCTTGCGAGGCACCACTGTATTGTAAAATTAAGGAATTTTAGAAGGATGTTGGATAGAAATTAAGTGGTTTCCAGCTGTAATGCTTTAAGAGATACGAAAAAAGGCTTACAAATGGGTAAAAGCTTAATGGTAAGGATTTGCTGAACTAACAAATTGAACTGGAATACAAAAAAGGGAGGTACAAGGAGGTCCGGGGAAATAAGTGCAAGGAAGATAGGTTATGGAAAATTAACGTGTTTTTAACTGTTTTATTTTGTATGTTTCTTTTTATTCTTTACTTTTTTGTTATATCCTAAAAACTTTATATATCTTTTTCTTTTTTCTGTATTCTGTATTTTCCGGTATTTTTTGAAACTTTAATAAATATCATTAAAAAATAATAATAATAATAATCATAGAATCAGAACTGTAGAGTTGGAAAGGACCCCAAGTGTCATCAAGTCCAACTGATGCTTAGTCAGAATCTCCTTTCTTGTAACTTGAACTCATTAGCTTGGGCCCTAGCCTCCAGATTAGGAGAAAACAAGCTTGTTCTATCCTTCAAGTGACAGTCCTTTAGATTATTGAAGACGGGCATCACATCTTCTCTCAGTCTCCTCTTTTCCAGGCTAAACGTACCCAGCTCCATCAACCGTTGCTCATAAGATTCGGTGTCCAGATCCTTGATCATCTTAGTCACCATCCTCTGCATATCTGAGCATTCCTGCTTTTGTGTTTGAAGACCTGCTATTTGAATATGAAGCCACAAACAACTTGGGACCAGAATACTTCTAGGGGTGCCTTGCCTTACACTTGGTTACTTCAGTCCTGTCATTGAAATTCTACTCAATATTGATCCAGAGCAGAACTCCAACGTATAGTTAGCAGAGTAAAAACTTAAACACATTGCAGGATTCCCAAAAAATAGACCAGAGGCAATTAATATTTCATCCAGCAGAGCTTTACTGCTACTGAAGGCAAGTGAGCATAATGGTCACAAATCCAATACAGTCATACCTCGGGTTAAAGTTGCTTCAGGTTGAGCATTTTTGGGTTGCGCTCCACGGCAACCTGGAAGTAACGGAACGTGTTACTTCTAGGTTTTGCTGCTCGTACATGCGCAGACGCTCAAAATGACGTCATGCGCATGCGCAGAAGCAGCGAATCACGACACGCAGATGCGGGTTGCATTCGCTTCAGGAGGTGAACGGGGCTCCGGAACGGATCCCATTCACATCCAGAGGTACCACTGTACATTCAGGATTGGCTGTCCATAAGAAGTCCAGTCGCAGCAGACTTAACTTAAATTTACAATAACTTATAATAAGTCTAAACCTTAACACTATAGCATACTATGTACAGAACACCACACCTTCTGGCCCTACTTTTATAGTCAAAATGACCTTCACAGAAAGAGATAAGAGAACCCATTTAAGCCAGCTGTAATCAGCTTCTCTGAAGGAATAACCCAAACATCATGAACCTTCTACTTGCTTCGTTCACACAGAGAAACTTCCAGAAGCTTCCAGAACCCTCTTGAATTAAATAGGAAAGATCTCTACACATCAGATCAATACTTTCTGCACTAAGAAATGCAAACTGACAAATCCTTGGGAGTGACACTCTTAGTAGTGCTATATTCTACTGAGGTTTGTCTTACTTCCACTAAGACCAGGTCCATTAGTATGATTTCACCTGCCCGTAGTAATTCACTCACAATGATCACAAGGTGGGTCTTCTGTCTTCCCTAACTGGGTGATCCAGCTACATTTGATGTAGTCAGCTGATCTACTGGTTTGTGATATAGGTGGCATCTGCTTTATGAATGCCATTATATTTACTGATGATACAGATTTAAAAAACAAAACAAAACAAAAAACCCCCAATAAAAGAATATCAAACACCAGAGGAGTGGGAACACATTGAACAGCTCCAGCCCTAAAGCAAAAGCTCGTTACAGGTAGGTAGCAGTGTTGGTCTGCCGTAGTCGAGACAAAAAAAAATATTCCTTCCAGTAGCACCTTAGAGACCAACTTCGTTTTTATTGGTATGAGCTTTCGTGTGCATGGAAGGATTTTTTCTTTATTTTGTTAAAGCAAAAGCTGTGCACGAAAGATTTTCATGCAGCCTAGACACGTGCACAATTGGGGCTCTGAGAAATGCAGAATTCTTTGCATGTACAGCTATATGCATGGAGGCTCCATCACTACAAATGGTTGCACTCTTTTCACAAAGGCTTGGTTCATCCTTGCTCCCATGTTGACCAGCATGGGGGCAAGAATGCCCAGAAAGGGTTTTGGTTGTTGTCAAATCCAGTTCATGCAGAGAAGTCTGGATGAAGTTTGTAGAATAAGCCTAGCCCTGCTTTGTCTCCCCATAACACCAATTTTGCTTTAATGAAGAAATGGAAAGCAAGCATGTATTAGGTGCATGATTTGCCTGAGATAGGGAAGGTAGTGCAGGATGAAACAATGACATTATATAGAATCGTGTAGTTCTACGCAGCATGATCGATAGCCCCATTATTTTCAGGTCCACCATGTGGTCATTGAGCTATTAAGGAAACATAGTTTCAGTGAGAAAGCAAAGAAGTGGTGAGGTCTTAGTTTCTGGAAGTACATCAAAAGGAAATTATATGAGTTTTTTTATGGATTTAGATAAAAGGCCCGGTGTCTTTATCTGAGGAAACGACAAAGATCTGAGGAGAACCATATCAGAGGAGATACGGCACTGGATGGTTTTAAATGTTCCTGAGGTACCTTTGTGTGTGGATCTTATAGAGGGCTTTTAGTCCTGTTCAGATGGTATCTTATCCAATCTGGGTTGTCCAATATATATAACAGTCAACGATACCTGCTGGAAATGTGGTAATACTGGAGTAAATTTGCTCCATATTTACTGGAAATGTCCTAAGATTACACACTATTGTATATCAATTTGGGAGCATGCTGGAGATATGGCTGTTAATGTGCTACCCTTGTACCCGATATAATTTTTTATTATCATTATCTAAAAAGCACAGTTGTACTGGAAGTTCTGGAGATGACTAGACACTTTTTAATAGCAGCTAGGAAGATAGGATCTATACAGGGAGGAGGGAATTCTATATCTACTATCTATGTCAGAATGGTTACTATGGGTCTGAGGTATGGAAGGCACTGTAGTATCGTCTTTGCCCACTCCTGATGCTCTCATCAAAGAGAAACAAAAACATTACAATTTATTAGACATTAACTATTTCAATAAACCTTACAATTCTTCACATGTGCAGGCTTTGCTCATGTTGGCCACTGTGATGATTTGAGGGCCTAACTATACATGACACTAATTGCATAGCTTGCAATCATGTCATCCTTTTTTCTTGCGTCGCAGGAAGAGGGGATATTGTTATCAGGACTGCAGAGTGTGGGGAGGGGCGCTTGAAACCTTTGCTTACCCAACGTGATCTCGACAAAATGCAGGAGCATACACACACACACATGCATAAGGAAATCAGAGAAGCACAGAATTGTAGAGTTGGAAGGGACTCTGAGGGTCATCTAGTCCAACCCCCTAACAATGCAGGAATCACAACTAAAGCATCCGTGACAGATGGTCTTCCAACCTTTGCTTATAAACCTCCAAAGAAGGAGAGTGACCACCTTCTGAGGAAATCCGTTCCACTGTTGAATAGCTCTTACCGTAAGAAAGTTCTTCCTAATGTTGTATTGCTCTGTGCTGAACCTAAAGCGATGGCTTGGGGCTTCTCTGGACACCTGAAGGGAGGCAAGAGCTGGTAATGATAGTAATATGGATGTATATACAGTGGTACCTCGGGTTAAGAAGTTAATTCGTTCTGGAGGTCCGTTCTTAACCTGAAACTGTTCTTAACCTGAGGTAGCACTTTAGCTAATGGGGCCTCCTGCTGCCACCACTGTGCGATTTCTGTTCTCATCCTGAAGCAAAGTTCTTAACCTAAGGTACTATTTCTGGGTTAGCGGAGGCTGTAACCTGAAGCGTCCGTAACCTGAATTGTCTGTAACCCGAGGTACCACTGTACAAGGTGTGACTGGAAAGTTCAGTGAATGGTCACAGAAATTGGACAGCGAGAAATATTCGAACATACAATCAGCATTGGAAACCCAGGAAATGCTCACAATTGTGTACAGAGATGAAACTGTAACTCGAAAGACATTGTATGAGTTGTTTAAGCGTTTCCGTGAAGGACGGCAAACCATCGAAGATGACCCTTGGTCTGGCAGACCGTTGCTGAGCGGAACGATGGCAAATGTCGACGGAGTTCGTGAGTTATTGATGTGGGATCGTTGTTTGTCCAGCCAAATGATGGCAAAAGAATTGCATATGCCGTGTGAAATCATTACTAAGGTTACTGAGTTGTCCCACCCTCCATATTCTCCCAGTCTGTCCCCACTAGATTTCTTTCTTTTTCCAAAACTGAAATCTGCGCTGAAAGGGCACAGATTTCCCAACATTTCACACGTCCAAGCTGCTGCGATGAGGAAAATGAAAGCAGTACGGAAGGAGGACTTCTCCAGAGGTTTCCAACAGTTCTATGAATGTTGCCAATGGTGCATTGCATGGGGGGGGGGGCTACTTTGAAGGGCTGTAAGGTATGTATGTTCAAATATTTTTAACTGTCCAATTTCTGTGACCATTCACCGAACTTTCCAGTTACACCTTGTATG